ATGAGGGTGAAATTCGCTTTGGCATAATAAAAAACATAGCTAAACGCGGATTTCACCCTAACGTGATCTACGTAGCGAATTTTACTAATTTACAACGCGGGTTTCACCCAGTCCTATTATAATTACGACCAATTACGGCATTGCGCTCACACCTCTAGGTGAAATATCCGAAACTGGATGAAACCGAAACTTTCAGAAACTTTAAATGTATAGGACATAAGTACCCCTTATTACAGTATCTGATAATTGATTTAAATGTAACATATGTATATTTATTATTCTTTGTTGACTATAAACATGAATAGTTGATAATACATAAGGATTGGTAAACAAGAATTTTTATACATTTAGCAATCTAAATTTACGCTTTATTACAAAATATTAGGAGCGCAGTGAAACTGCAAATTTCGTGCTATTATATAGATTTAGGGATCTAAATCCATTGAATGACGATCCACTCCCGGATGATCCACTTCCATAGAGTTATCTAATTCTATTGGAGTGATTTGTTTAACTGCAGGAAGTGATTGTTGATCAACCTAGTAATATTTAAAGATATTAATATTTAAATTAAAAAAAAAAAAAAAAATACATAAAAATGAATTATTACCTTAATCATATTATTGACAAATTCGTAAGCCTCGAATGTATTTTCTACCAACAATGAATCCGGGAAAACATCATCTAATAACTCCTCGGGGACACCGTCGGGCCATAAATTCAGACTCATATCGTTAACATAAATGTTCAATGGATCACTTGCTTTAATATTATCTGTGCACAAGAATCTTTGCATATATCTCTTAAGAGCAATAACAAACGCTTCGGCTGGTATCTTTTGTTTTTGTTCTCCAGTATTTTGTTCGAAATCAATAGCTTCTAAAACTTGATTTTTCATATCTTCATCTAATGATTTTTTATATTTAGTATTAAGATATTTAATCTCTTCGTTTGCGACTTGATTTTCAACTAATTCGTATAAGGAAATTGCATGTTTTAATTTCAGCTCGAGATTTAAAATATGTTGAAACCCGATATTTTCCATTAAGTTTGATAATTTTAACCATTGGTTTACAAACTCTTTCATAAGAGTTTCACCATTATCAGCTGAGATTCTTTTAATGAAGCATAAAAATATTTCCAAGAATGAAAGTAATTCTGTTGCATTTTCGATTGAATACTTTGCTAAAATATTTGCATTCTTAAATGGATTTGATGTTAAAGGTGCTGATGAAGCGGATTCAAAGATTAATGAAATCTTGTCATTAGGAATAGGTTCTTGTGGAATTAATTCTTTAATTTCACCTAAAATTCTCATTGAACTTTGGAATAGCTCTAAGTGATACGGGAATTTGTCCATTAATAATTGGTCACCATTTCTTTCAATATACGCTTTTTCGGAGACTAAAGTTTGAGCAAGTTCCATTTCTATAGCTTGAAGATCGAACATTATATCTTCACCGTGTCCAATTTTAAGGTTATGCTGACTATACCGAAGGATCCTATTATCCCACTCATAATCAACAATGTTTGATCGCTTTATTGAGTCTAAACGTTTTGACGGAATGTGATAAGGATTTGTGGCTTTTGTGACTCTAACCTGAGTTGAAGTAACAATTTCTTCATATACCCAAGGTGTAGCTTCTTCTAAGAATTTTAGAGAGAGACAAGATCTTTCTGGAATTGCTATAACATCCTCCAAGAAATTATTATGTAAATCGACCAAATAGTCTATAATTGCGCATAAGAAAACACCAGAATCCCTAGCCTCCATTAAACCGAACGTCACAGAATCATTAATAGTAATCTGTGGATGTCTGGGTAGTTCATGACACTGATATCGAGTAACATTATCAATAACTGAATTCCAAGCGTTAGCAAACTCTTCAAAAGCAGTATTTAGAGTCATGCGAGTATCAAACATTGCTTCGTTCTTTGATTCATCAATAAATTCTTTAAATGTATAACTAACTGCTTTTTCTCTTTGCAATCTATAGGCAAGATTTGAATGTAATATTTTAACGAAATTGACAATAGGATAAAGATGCTTGATTTGTGACAAGTTTTTTTCATGCTTGAAATAAACTGCCAAGAATGGAAATGCTTGAACATTATGATGCATATCTCTTGAGTAATAAGCATTAAGACTTTCATAACAAACTGTCCCGAGAGTTCTCCACAATCCAGGAAGATATTCTTTACAATGTTGTGGGGACATGTCTAACGTTTGACTAATTTCTGTATCAAGAATGTTACTAGATACTTCTGCCGCAGTCATTGCATTTCTCAACGAAGTACTAAAGTCTCTAATGGTTTGAGTGACATTATTTATCAGTGGTGTAACATAATTTCGAGCAAAGTTTGTTTCCCACTGTTGTCTTGCGACCGAAGTAAACAAATGGTTTGGTTTAGAATGATTGGGATTATTTATTATCTCGACTAGTATAGAATGGAATAATAGTGCCAAATTCTCATCAGAAATATTAAGAAGCTTTTTTAAGACAGCCCAATCATTTTCAATATGCTTCATGCAATAGTCCGTAACATCTCCATAAGTATTTCCATTTTGTTTAAAGAAATTATTTGTGGCCTCTGACGGTGTTGAAGCTAAGATAAGTGTATGAACTATCAAATGTAAAATTCGATATGAAGTTGGGCACATTGCTCGAACAGTATGAGTTTGTGAAGATTCTAGTTTTTCCGAAACATATCCTGCTTGATCATTTGATACCACTGATAAGACAATATCTTGATCAAGTCGTGTGTTGCCAGGTGCAGACTGATGATGACTTCCACCTAATAAAATAGGAATTGTTTAATAAATGATGAATACAACGGAAACACCAGGAAACAGAAGAAATGTCTAAACTCGTGGTTACTTATTATGTATCACGTGTTTACCAATTCTTCCTACATTCTGCAGTGTTAAAAAAATAATTAACACTTTTGAATATCAAGCTTACCAATTGTATTTCCACATCCAGGGCATGTTGCCGTTACCATGGCACCACCACAATTGCCTATTACGTATTTAAAGCCACATTGGCATTGATATCTATCATATAAATAATAAGATTTGTATTACTATAATAAATTTGGCATATATGTTAAATATAAAATAAGTGTTACCTGGATACACCTCCCATAGCAGCAACCGCATTGAACAAAGCAGATTCCTCATCTGATTGGCATGATACAATAAACATGGAACCACATCCTTCTATTTCTTGCAAATAAGCAGTCAAGGGTGAAAAATCTGAATTCATAGAGGCATGTAGTCCAACTATATAAATAAGTACCGATTTCATGATTAAATTATTACTTGTGGTGTCAGTTCCAATCTTATATAAATTGTGGGTATTTTCTAAAAGTTTGGAAACCATTTGTCTATAAGCATCTGGAAGACTAATCATGTTATCAATTTTTGATTTTAAATGTATAGATAACTCTCTTTCTTTTTCATCCCATCCACGTGAAGCCCTAACAGCATGGAGTCTCATGACAAGCAATCCAATAAGAGATAATCGTGAATTTATTGATCCTCCATCGACTTTTTTAAGGAAATCATCTATCTGTACTTTATTTCCAATTCGACGCATATTCGCATATGCAATTTCAGTTTCTGGATATTCGGAAAGATGCCAATAAGGGTTAAATGGAAATCTTGTTGAATCACTAGACTCCCAAGGGAAATTATTCAGCCAAGGCAGTTCATCAGGCCGTCTCTTACAAAACCTTCTTACTTCATCGAATGAATATCCACGTCTTCTTAAATCTCGAAGGAAATATATTCTTAACGAATATATTAACGAGTGGTCTACTTTTAACGCTTCAATGATTTTATGTAAAAAGTTGGTACCGTTAATCCCTTGGATACTATCAAGTTGATATGCAACAGAAGCATTTTCATCATTGATGACTACATCAAAAAACATTCTAACAAATTCTTTTAAGAATGCAACAGCTGAGATTCGTTGTAATGGTTGTATTTCTTCTTCACACAAGGTTCTTAAAGCATGAGGGAAGTAGGATACTAATTTTTCTATAGTCGTTTTTGCAAAAAAACAATGTTGAATGATATCACAGCATAAAGTAGCCATTTTTAAATCAAGTTCGGTAAGATATTTATCGATTTCTTGGAGTCTAGGATAAAAAGTAAGAATCCCTGGTTGGCCTTTAATAAGTTGGAAGAATATACCTTCTTGTGCTGTTTTTTCTGTTTCGAAAATTTTTTGAATAATTATACCCATAAGTGGGAATGGTTGATTTTCAAACAACCTTCGATAGAGCCAAATTCGTAAATCTGACTCTAGAGGAATTATATCAAGGCATCTTAGAATAATGTTTCGTTTAAATACCAAATTGATTTCAGTAGGTTCGATTTCATATAAAACATCGAATAATACATTCAAGACCTCTATCGTCAATGTTGACACTGAATTTTGTGCAAGAGAAATAATCCTTGAAATACTATGTGGTCTGATTGATTTGATGGAGAGTAAATCGTTACAAAATTGCAATAATTTGAGAGATTCTAATGTTGAAGCTTTTGGAATTTCTTTGCTGAATGAAAGAACCTTAGTAACTTCATATTTCCATCGATCAACTTCTTTTTGTTCGTAAGCTTCATTCATGTTTTTATCTTTGCTGATTTTAACTAATAATATTTCTATAGCCTCTTTAACTAGAGTTATGGCGTCACCGGATTTGTTTTTTAATTCTGGAGCTATTGTTGGGCATATTTGAGCTAGTTGTAATTCTGCCATTATGGAATTTCCATGAATCCACCAATAAGTATGTAATATTATTGGATTCAAAACCTTTTCTTTGCCGAGTCTTCTTTCAAAGATTGATCCTAATAATTCAGGATCTTTGTTACCAGGTTCATTACATGCTATAACCGAAACGAAATCTTTGAAATACAGATCTGATGCTTTATCCAATGGTGATGTTTTTAATAAAGGAACTTCTGCTCTGATTTTTTCTGTGAAATTTTTAAGGTATTCATTAATCACAGAATCTTCGAGTTCACCAGATAGGTTGTTCACGTTATCGGGATTTTGGTACAATATATTAACTTCTTCCTGATAAATTGGTCTAAAATTATCAATTTGTTCCATGAAGTAATAAGAAAATGGAAATTGTAGATCATAAATTCCTAGAGGCATAGTATATAAATCTGGTGACGGCTCTGAAATTTCTTCGATATTAATTATTTTTTGATCATTAAACATTTCTAACCAAAAATTGAGCAAATAATTATCTTCATTTGAAATATTTGGCTTATCTATTAAGAAGAAAGTTTTGGTTGCTGCGAATCTTTCAAGTGCACATAAAGCTTTGGCAATCGGTCTTCTGACAAATCCTTTGATATAAGCCTGTAATGCTGCTAAAAATGATGGATATCTATATAATAATTTCTTATTGGATGCTACATCATATTGCCAGCTTTTAGATGCCTTTTCTTGAAGCCACTGTTGGGTGCGTGCTTTTATGCAATCCAATAAATTTGGGTGTTTACAAATTTCTGAGTTCAGAATCCTAATTAAATAATTCAGAAATATTGGTATCATGTTATATATATACATATAAATAAGGTAATAAAAAAGAAAATTTACCTGATATGCTCAATGGATTTTATATTCGAGGGATATTTCATACACAACAAGCACCATAATAATTCTTGTTTCAAAATATCTTCAAATTTATAGGTAGTATTAATAACATCATTTAGACTTCTATCCAAAAGTTTTGATAAAGGTATTTCTTGTTCAGATAGAGTTTCAATCGTTATTTGATCCCATCCACACATAAAATTAAAAGTTGCCAATGAATTTTCTTGCTTTCTATGAATATGTAGTATAACACATGAATGTTTTGTTTTCATCTTTAATTCAGGCCTTGTTTTCTTTTTAATCATATAATCGTTTTTAAATTGTTCAATTATAAATTTAGCCAATTTAATACATCCGGCACTTATCGTTGTAACATCACATTGGAGAATTAACATTTCAGCCGTAGAATTTAACCAGAAATGTTTAACTCTGTTTTGAAGCTGTGCTTCTGTTTTGAATGTCGATAATTTATCTACTTGACAATTGATCGTGTCTTTCAGACAAGCTTCTACATCTGTGTTAATGTTGGAGAATGTATTAATGATAACTTGAAGTCCTTCTGAGTAATTTTCGTTTTTTAATTTATTTAGAGAAGATTGAATGTATGTGGCAAGATCATTATGGCATTGGTCATTATAGTAAGTATTTTTCCAGAACTTAATTTCATCGGCATCCAATCCAGATTTTTCCGCTCTTATAATTCCATCACTTGAGGCAATTGCGATCAGTTTTTCTTTACACTTTTGAAGAATGTCTGCATCATCACTATTCGGATATCTCTTAGTAATGTCAATCACTAAACTTTGTAATGTTTCATCAGGATCAAATCCAATAAATAGATCCTTTTGTTTAAATTCCATTATTGGCATGGCTGGGTTAAGGCCACCAAATACTTTTGACATTTGATTTACCCAGCTAGATAATTGTTCAACTATCTGAATATTTTGAGGTGTTAAGATGTTGTTTATTGTCATTTTTTGTTTTTCGAACCGATTTAGAAGTGGTGGATCAGCTGTCTCAAGTTTCTTCTCATCAAGTACTAGAATACATCTAAATGTTTTATTGACAAAACTAAACGTTTGAAAGAAATGTATAAATGCGATATATTGATTCGTATTAGTATCTTTCAGTAAGTTGTACAAACTACAAAATACACAATGTTAATATATTTACAGCATAGGATTCGCATAAGCACCGAGTGCCACTCTCGTATAATATTTTGGATCATCTGCACTACCCACGACGATATAGTTTTGGTTCCACAGATCATAAAGACTCCCGTAAATAATTTCCAAGTCTGTCAAGATTAATGGTCTTCCAGCTTCAACACACATCTACAAAAATATATTCATTAAAAATGTCAACATATTTAATATATTAAAATTAAGACTTACCATAATCCTGCTTAGTACACTATAAGAATAGTCATCTCGATCATCAGGGAATTGAGATCCCAAGATAATAACCGGATCTAAATTTCTACTTCTCAACTGATAAGTCAACAAACTAACAATTGAATCACTTTTTCCAATGACCATAAGATGTCTCGCCCCTTCATCATCCAAATTCGCATTAATCAACTCTTCGACCGGAACAGGAGTATATTCCCAATTCTTGGCATCATTAGATAGTCTAAATACCTCTCCAAAATAATGTTCGCATAATTTTTGAGTTTGTTCCGGATCTGTACCACCAAAATTTCGAACTAAGGATTTTTGAATATTTTGAGGCGTTAATTCAGCCAAAGATAATGATTTTACTAATGCGTAGTAATCACGAAGGCCATGGAAATTAGGAAGCAGCTGCCCAGTTTGTTCGTAAGATGAATAAGCATCTGCGAGTGGTTTAAGAGAGGAACTTGTTATCTTAGAACCGCCAGGATTGGTCTTTGATCCTAGTAGATTGACTGCTGTATCTATCAGGTCATCCAGGTCAAATTTCGGTCTAACAAATATTTATTTAATATCAGTATAACACATCGTTAATCTAAAAACTAGAAAGACATACAAACCTTTGAACCAATAATGCTCTACTGCTCTTACTATTATCTAATCTCCAGTTAGATATGCCAATAAAAGCTACGGTAGGACCATCCGAAGGATAGCTTGGTTCAAGTAATGAATGAAGAACTTTTAATGGATTGAATGGACTTGTTTCGGCCAATCCAACTGTTTAAAAGAATTTGATGTTTAATTAATATGTTTAATTAAATTTATACATATATACAAAATATAAGATGAATAGGAATGCAGTGCAGACTAGAGATTGTACCCGGGTTTATTATATCACTCGGGGTTATCAAGGTAATTTATCATAGGGTCTCAAAATTTGATAATATATTGTCTATAATGTTTTTACTTTCTATATAAGAAATTTTCATGGCAGTAATGATAAGAATGCGAGAACTGGTCTCGATCTAGGAATTAAAGGATTCTTCGATTAAGAAAATTGGGATATTACGATCAATCGGAGAATTCTCCAGATTGACATTTTCCTAGACCAGTCCTCATATACAAGAAACATGGGTATTTTGGTAAATTAGCTCGTGATCCAATAATCTAATTCAGTTTGATTTTTCTATGATAAGAATCGAATGCCCGACCAGATTACTGGGTCACGAGATATCCCATTTAAATACACGTCACTCTGGTTATATCGACACCTCAAAAAATAAAGAAATTGTCTGATATATCCAGATGTCAGTTTGACCAGAGGCATTTTCATATTAAGTTTATAAGTTCAAAATTTTAAAAAATGTTATCGGTATATCCATATGTCGAGATAACCAGAGTTACGTGTAATGTGGTAAGAAGGGCGTTATGACAAATATAATATTGTGATGAATTGAAATATCTCATGATACAACTATCAGATTCAATTCCTCTCATAGAGTTAGATACTCTTATAAAAGGAATAAGGTTATGTAAAGGTCGCACAAATCTGACAACTGGAATATTAGATACGCAGATTCGTCGAAATACCCTATTCATCTTCTCTACATATTTGATAAATGTGAAAGAATATTACCTTCATCAAGCAAGACCACACTAATGATTTTAAATTCTTTAGAACTCGTATTCTGATAATTAACAGCTTTTTCAAATACTTTTATGATACCATCGGATGTTGAAGACGATGAACCTTGATAAGGGATTAGATAAACCTATATAAAGTATAAATTGTTAATTATTTTGTTCAGTCAATATATTATTGTAACACACATGTAATGAAGCATACATAAATACCTGCGGTAATTCCTGAAAATACTTGTCATTTGAATCCGAGCCTTTTAGATTCTGACTTACAAGTCTTATTGCTAGCGATTTTGAGGAACTAAATAATGTATTTAGAGCGTGATTAATTCACTATAATTAATCATACGAAAATATATATAAAATAACATTTACCCAGGGGCACCAATAATAAATACAGGAATCTTTGTTAAAATACAAACTATCATGACCAAAACATTTTCTAAAAGTGCTTCATTATGTGCAGTATTTGGAGGACAAATCATTCTATTAATGTAATCTTCTTGCTCTTGTCTAATGACAGTGTTAAACTTAGCATCATCAAATTGAATTCCATTAGTAAGCAATAATCTAGCCATTTTTTCTCTATACGTTTGTCTAATAGATTGCTCATACATTCTACACTGATAACAGAGTCCTAATGACAATATATAACATCTAATAGAAAATTTAATTCCATCGGCTGGATTAGGGTACGGAGGTGAATTTTTTCTTCGAATCGGAGGACGATTCGTGAGACTTTTTGCAAAGAATTTTACTAGAGTGATTGCACGTTTCACGTCTCTTAGACTAACACTATAAGGTTCCTCGATGTGTCTAATATATCGTTGTGATTCTGCCAATAATTTTGCAAATACATTATTATCATCATATTCTCCTAATGATTCAGAAACCATTGTTTGAATATACTTTTCTTCCTCAAGTGCTTGAAGAATTCCATAATCCCAAACATAATCAAGAATTTGATCTGGCAATGGTTTGACCTGATAAACCAACTCATTTCTTTCCTCATATTTTATCTTTTGCTGTACCTTTAATCCCACACTACTCTGACTTTTAGTGCGTTTACGGTAAGGATTACAAGCAGCAAAAATGCGAATGTTATAATGGACTTCTTTGCCTAACCATCGTCTATGAGCTATGAGATCGGAGAGAAGTCCCATGTAATTACAAGTATTAATTTCATCAAAAAATATCCAAGTTTCCTTCTCTTGAGATTCATCCTGAACCATTGTCATGAAAGATTTTATGATATCTTCGGAAATACCCGCGTGCAGGTTCAGAGCATGAAACTTAACTTCGACTACCCCGGCTAAAAATCCAATTAAACTTGTCTAAAAATCAAAGAACTTTTAGTAATGAATAAATAAATTATATTAAATTTTATTTAGGGGCGTTATTGCCACTCTGTTACTCTGAATTCTTTGAAACTGTGCAACAAAAAATTCATTACGAGCTTAAATCACCGGCTTTTTATTTAATTACTTAGTGACAATAACAGAAATAGCGTTTCCTTTACTTATTGAGTTAAAATAAATTACCTTTCCACACCCTGCTTCACCACAAACGACAACCTAAGTACAAACTAGAGTTAGAATAAAATTCGACATAGTAATTTCAATTAGGCCAGACCAAAGTAATTCTCTGTTTAACATATCCCTCATTTTTTAAAATTTTGTTTGAAAAAAACATCATATTAACAATCAAATTGCAATATTGGTTTTTTATAATTTTTACATTTTTTACAGCCAATAAAATTAATGTTTTTATTAATTTGTTTTTTTTTTTTTTTTTTTTAATATTCTCCCACTCTTACGAGCTATTTTAATTATGTTAAACAGAAAATCAATTTGGCGTGGCCTTAGTTTGATGTGATGATTTACCGGAATACTAGCACGAGCTCTTAATAAAATTAACGCCATCTTAATTAAATTATCTGCAGATAAAGCATATCGAGGATACGTAATTTCATGTGTAGTCTTTCTTGCTAAGCTTTCCAATTTTTTCAGTAAAAGCTTCATGTCCATCGTATTATAATCTTCCAATTTAAAGTTTTTAGGATCACCATTTATACATTGACTTTGTAATAATTTTGTTACATTGTCTGGAACTTTTTTTGCATTACGATATAAAGCACAAATAGAATCCGGTGCTTGAGACAAGAAAAACACTAATAAATGATTTGAATCTTCCCATTGAACAATTGTACCCAGTCTATCATCATTTAAAGGTGTTATTGATTCTAATTGAGCCGCTTTAGTCTTTACTGAACGTGTGGCAAAATCTTTGCAAGCAATAAGTAATGTGTTGACCAAAGTTTTTCTAATGTCTTTTTCTTTAGTCATTAATTTTAAATTATCAACTCGGAAGTAGGAACTTAAAGATAGTCCAATTAATTGATTTGCCAAAACATTAATAAAAATTTCGACAAATCTATATGATGAAATATCACTATCATCCTTATCGTCAAACAAATATTTTTTGATGAGTTCTCTACAACGATTTTCCTGTAGTGGCTCCGTGATATCAGTACCAGTGGTATTGAACAAGAGATCTTTTTCTTCAATAGTTGAATTTTCATCCGCTTCTAAATAATGACAAACGATTTGAATTGGGTTATCAATTTCTAGAGATACAGAAAGATTAGAAATATCCCAAGTTATATGTTCGCTGGAAAGACATTCGACAAATGGCAAAGATTTGAGTAAATACTGTCCAACAGTTGTTGCAACTTCAATGAAAATGGGAGTATTGGGAAGACAAACTATATCCGTATAGTTAGAAACCATTCCTAAAGTTAACAGTTCAAATAGGAATAGGTTAACGTCACCAGGATTATCTGCAGATACTATATTTAAATGCAAACTTTCAACTGGTCTAATCTTGTGTTCTTTTAAACGCCTAACAAGTGCTCCAAAATCAACTCCATCACTAATTAGAAAACTACGAGGAATTTTCATTTTCTCAAAACTAGCATTTTTAATCCATTCCGTTTTACCCTGTCCTGATAATTCTGATGATACACGTCTAACGTCTGGACATAGCTCTTGATATATTCCTTTCATAGCATCTACATCTAGCCCATTGGTTACATGAATATCCTGAGAAAATTGATCCAATATATGATGTTGAACTTCGGATTCTTTGCAACATATAAGAGCTAATAAATATTTATCTTTGATATTTGGCATCCGATTCATAGATCTAATGTTATTAACAAGATTATACTGTAACTCAAAATCTACTAGTTCTAAATTAGCGATGCAGAATAAATGGCCTTTATATCCATTATCAGACGCAAAGAAACATCGTTTAGTGAAAATAGAAAGTTCTTCCATAGTCGTTGAAGAAGTGCATATCAATATTTGCCACGGCTGAGGATAAGATTTGTGGTTGGCATACAGTGACATTATGATATTTGGTACAAGAGATTTATTACTACATGCAGCCACAAATAATTTCCCAGGTTGGACAAGATCTGATTTAATACGTTCTCCCGTGTCTTTAATTTCTCGTATCTGTTTGGGAATGTTCTCAAATATATCTGCCAATTTGGACCCTATACTACATAGAGCACTATAATAATCACGAGTGTTATCATGAATATCATCAATAATTTCCATTTGTGTTTGTGATTTTGGTGGTGGCAATCGAGCAGCATTGTTCACAAATGTTATAAGTATTTGACATTCTTCATGGTTTGCAGCTTTATCTTTGGCATTGTCATTAAAATAATCATGAAATGCCAAGATGTGACGCGCAGGGAAGAAAGTCAAATAATAATGTTCTTTTTGTGCCCTATCAACAATACCTTCCCTAAAATAGAATATAAATATAAATAATTCATTAAAAATTAAAAGAATACAAACAATTTAGGAAACTTACCATTCAACCAGATGCTCATTTAATTCATTTAATAATTTCTGCATATTTTCAGTTCCTTTAACACTTTGATTAAAATCTCTATAATTAAAGTGACCTATCTGAATTAATTTAGAACCAACATTTATAATCTCCTGTGCAAAATCTACTTGGATCACAAATTCATTCATTATTTTTTTAGCTCTTTCTTGTTGCTCTTGCTCTTTTTCAGGCATTTCCATTTCTATAGTTACACCAGGTTTGGCTATTAACAAAGCTCTTCCTCTTAAGTCTTGCAAATCATTTAAAGTGTATGGTTTCTCATTAGATTCATCTTTATCGTCCATAGAGTCAGAATTAGCTGAAAAGGAGTTGATAGGATAAGATAAAGTAGCAGTGCATTTATCATCATTACTAATTCGTTTAAATGTGTATGTTCCGATCTTTACAGCGTTAATAATTCTTTCTTGAGTAACTTCAGTTCTATTATTAATATTTTTATACATATTCTCTAATGCTTTTCTATTACTATTACATAAAGTAATCTTTTGCCCCAATACTGGATTTTGCTCTGTAATTTCACAGAGTTTTTTCAAAAATGTTTTAGGTTTTAAACTTTCTACATTCTTTAACAATGGTAATAAGAATTTTTTAACTTGAATCAATGAAGAAACTGTATCTTCTTGAATGAGACGTTCATCAGATTGATTATCCACACCATTAATTATATTAGTTATATCATGTTCAGCCACAGACTGAAGGAATCGGATAAATTCATCGGCAAGTGATAATGACTTTATCAGTTCCCAACAATTTTCATTAAGTGAAGATAAGGAACGATCATGATATTCAAAGAAATCATTAAGTCTTCCAAGCCATAAATAGTTTCCATTTAAAAGCGCAAGCTGCGTTTCAATCCAATCTTCTTTTGTATGAGTTACCTTAAACATTGATACCACCTCATTCAATTGCTGAAGTCTTTCAACATATATAGGATACCTTGACACGTATGTTAAAGTTTTTATCAATCTTTTATCCGCTTTTAAATTCATAAAATCAAGTTCTGCTTTAACATCTTTAACATTATTCCAAAAAGTGCTTTCTTCAATGCAATAAAGGATTTCCCATTCATTAGTTTTGTATTTCATGGTCTTTTGTTCATATATTTGGGCAAGTGATGGTATAATATTTTGTGCCAATTCTTCAATGTTAATTTCTTCTTCACTATTAATCTTTTGATTAAATATATTTCTGAATGTTTGAAGATTTGCTAATTTATATGTTAGTTTTGCAGCATTTTCATTAATCTTGTGATATTCCCAATGATTATTTGCTAGAGTCTCTTGAAGAGTTAAAGTATCACATTTTGATCTTTGTTCCATATCTTTAAGATAAACATCAACACCTTTAATTTTTTCAACTGGACAAAATTGAGTATAAAAATGATGAAGTTGTGCTAATTTTTCTTCATAATTTCCACATTGGATACGAAGCTTGTTAACATCCCCTTGTTTTATATTATTTGAATTGAAGAATTGAATCAATGTTTCATCCTCATACTTGAGAAGTTGTTGTAAAGATCGGATCGTAATAGCATCTTTTTTAATAATTTTAATAAACCCACTTATTATTGCTTTTATTTGTCGAATATATGGGTGCGCGTTCAAATCAGAGACTTTTCCGGTCGCTCGCAATATAAAATTCCAGAATTGAGAAGAACGAAGGAGGGTTAAGGTAGTGGAAGTTATGTGTAAATCAGAAGTATCCGA